CTGGGATTGATTGCCGGCCTGGCCATGGCTAACATCTCACTACACGAGCCCCTCTCCTCCCGCTCTCTTCACGAGCCACGCTGGGTTGGTGTGGTGAAGTGTGGTCACGTGCGTTGAACTTCTTTCGCAACGCACGTAGGTAACCGCGCTGATCGGAGATCAGCGATTCTCTCGCTGTTATATACAATTTTCCACTTTCGGTCCTCGTAATGAAGACGTTTGAATAAATCGTCCCACGGGCCATTGAGGGCACGCTCAACTTGACCAATCCCCGTCTATCACCGCGCACCGCCAATGTACACATTTCGCGTTTTGAAAGCGGGAGCGTCAATTTATTTTTCCACTTGAGCCATCCTATCCCCACCCTAGTCATTACTCTGGCCTAGTCTGGCCCTGTGGCTCCAAGAGAAAGTATTCATCCGTGCGCATCCCCAGCCCCAATGTTTTGAGCTCAGAAATCGATGCGATATCTGACTGTGACCGGCCAGAGTGCTTCGTCTGAAATTGCAACAGTTTCTCCTTCGCAGCTCAAGCGTGAATGTCGGCGCAAACAAAACAAAAAACATCTGAGGTGTAAAGAAGTTGCCGGCGCAGCCTGGCAATTGCTTGCTCACTTCGCTAAAACTATAATACTAAATTATTTTGTATTTTACCAAGTAAGGCCCAACCTGGCCACAATCGATAGCTTAACGAAGTAGATTATCATGCAGACATTCATAGCAGCCACATGCCATCTCTTAGACACACTTAAGCTGTTGTGCTTTCGCTACGTTGTCCCAACCTGAAGACGGACGCTTGTGTTGCGCCCGAAACGTCGTAATTTAATTTAGTTGTTTTCATTTTTAATTTATTTTATCTTTTACCTACGTGACTTTACCGGAAAAAAAAACAAAGAGTAAGCAGCCAAATACTTTAACGAACGATTATGAATGCGGAGGGAAAAACCGGAGGACCCGGATGAAAATCCACGCGACCATGGTGAGAACATCTCTAAATGAGCAGCATCTCTTAAGGAGAGGGATGCTGCCACAGTGGTGTAATGGTTATCACGATGGCCAGGTGCGGCAGTCGAAACAGCGGGGCGAGTTGTCTCAAACCCCTGACGTCTTTGTCCACTCGGCAGTACCGACGGGTTCGCCGCAGGTTAAGAGATCGATAAGTCGTGCGCGGTAGGATATGTAGAGCGTGTTAGTGCTCCCACCACCTTCCAAGACGGTCCTGGCCACGTGGAATAGTAGGCCAAATTCCCTCTAGAGGAGGGGGCTGTCTAGAGCTTCCTCTAGTGGAGGTCCTTCCGCCAGCAGAGGTGTGAGAGAGCAATTGCAGCGCTGTGCCTTTACCTTTTTGTAAGTATTTGAAAGTAATAATGACTATGTTGTTGTAGTGTGTGTGTGTGTGCGCTTGTGTTTGTAATCATGATAGCAGATGTAATCGTGACCTCGGCAGGTCACTGGCAAATCCCGCTCTCCGTGCACTCATAATTCTCTCTCTCTCTCTCCGCTGACATCGGGCACGGAGCGTGGAGCAGTATTTTAATAAAGGCTGGAGACGTTTGTGGGGGGCAGGGGTAGGGGGGGAGACGAGGGAGAGGGGAGGGTGTGTGGGGTGTAAGGGGGGCAGACTGGGAAGGGGATGAGAGGGTGAGGGAAGGGCTGGGTGGCAGAGTTGTGGGGGGGGGGGGGTGCGCCAGACTGCAAAGGGGAGGGGTGGGGAATTAGAGGATGGGGGGCAGACTGTGGAGGAGAGAGGATGCTGGGGCAATAATCAGTCGGGGAGGGGGGGTGGTGGCAGACTGAGTTTGTGGAGCAAAAACGATCACCGCTAAACACCTGCTGTGTTCACAGGGATGTAGGAGGCGATGGAAGTAGAATTTTTAAGAGGAGAAAAAAATTGCGTCTGATCTAGGGATGGGCGAGGCCCCCCCCCTCCCCCCAAATACATTCTCAACAAGTGTGATGTCATCCTGGCATGCAAAGTATGCTGATAATTCTGTTGTTCCTTTTTTTTTTAAAGCACCTTTATTTTGTTGATTTTGATTATTCATTCCGGTTAGCGTGCACTTATTTCTTTTCGGGCTCTGCGATTGAAGCTTTTTCGCCTACAAAAGACGCTCACGTGATTATTTTATCTCAACAGGCGCGTGCGTGTGCGTTGTTAGCGCGTGCATTTCACCGTCACAGCAACGCACGTGCAGGTATAGGACATTGAAAACGGATCGCGCTTTCGCAATCTAGATTGAAAAGTTATTTCTTTAGAACTGCTTTTTGCGTTTAGTTTGTTGTCCTTTCCCCCCGCGCACCTCCGATTAGCACGGTTGGCTGAGGTACCGTGCGAAAGAAGTTCAACACACATGCAGACGGACGGACGTGCTGCAGTTTGCGTCGACTAAAATCTCCGTCAAGCGAGTGGGGAGACGCTCTCGCCGAAGGGGTGGGACGAGAGTGAATCTGGGTCGGGCGAAGGGGTTTGTGAGTCATTAGTCGGCCTTGCCCATCATCCCAAAAGGATCGATAAAACAACTACCCTACCAATCTAGATGATTTCTTGCTCTGGTTGTCCCACTTGATGACGGACGCTTGTGTTGCGCCCGAAACGTCGTGATTTATTTTGTTTTATACCTAATTGGCTTTACCGAAATAACCAAAGAGTATCGATTTAGATTTGAGTAAACCAAAGAGTAACTACCCTACCACTTTGTTCGGGAAGTCAGTCGGGGGTTTTCATAATGGATGCAATCGGTCCTTGCCTAGAGAATGTGGAATTTCCACCAACGGTTCTGGAGCGCCAGTGTGGACGACCACGGGACGAGGTTTGTTTTGAGTGTGGGGACTGCAGCGCAAGCGGTGGAAGTGTGAACATATATCCGTAAAATAAATGACAAATATTTACAGCTCTTTCCAGATGCCCCGTTAGTCATCTTGTATTTTACATTTGTAGAGAGCCTTAGCTCAAGGCGGTTTATACTGTATAGTTTAAAAAGCGGGGACAAAAAAAGACTGGTTGAGATAGGAAGGGGCGGTGCAAGGGTCGAGGAATGAGTGACCGTAACAGAGGGCAGTGGAGGGGTGAGGGGAGGGAAGAGGAAAGGAATGGGCTGACGGGCATACTTCACCACGCTGGTCAGTGCAAATTGATGAAGGAGGTGGTTGGGGCAGGAGGGGGGGGGGGGGGCTCCGGATTGGTTAAGATATCTCTCGCCACGGAAGTTAGCCTTGATCGCGAATCGCCACGTTTCATCGCGGCTTTCGTGGTGCACTTCATATATCCAGACAAATATACACTGTACGTGCAGTTTACCCGGCGAGCTTTGTGTGGATGCTTGTTCTACTGGGAGGGTCTCTCAGATTTCCCACGGGCGTGGATTCTGAGCAATCGCGGGGGTCATTTGGCTACGCACAGCAGCGATGCGTGCATGCACGGCAAGCGGCAATCGGCAAAAGCGGACTCTGCGATCCGGTGGTCCACCAGTTCGATCATTAACCACCTTCCGCGGCCAGTTGAAACAATTTTTTTCGCTTTTTTTTTTTAAACGTTTATTTTGTTTGGGGCAACGCGCGGGCACCTGTTTACATCACGTTGCGACGCGCAGCGCGCCATGAACAAAAGAAACTCAAACCGGTTATGAAAAGCAAGGGGATAGAGAGATGGGGAACGTGCTAACCTATACAAGGAGAAAGGGTGACTTTTTCAAAGTAAGGGTGGAAGGGATGAACAGGGGAGGGAGGGAGGGATTTAACCGAGACGCGCCTGACATAATCAAAATAAAAACATGAAGGGGTGACCTAAGCGGGCATTTGTTTATTTCCTTCCACTCCTCCGAATGCGGCTCCTGTCTAACCTGCAGCGGATTATGCACCTAATCCTCGGTCGCTGTCTCCCGAGCCTGCCGTACTGGTTAACTTATTTCAGCTGTTGTATAAGGGAATTGACAACGCTTTGATTAAATCCACCCCTCGCCACCGCTGTCCACGCGGCAGCGTGAATGGGCTCGCCGCAGTTTACCGGGACGGCAGAGAGTTGCGTCTGGTGCCGTGAAGTGCGGGGCGCCTTTCACCTCTTCCTAGAAAAACCCTCACGGGTGTGGACGAGAAGGCCAAACACCCTCGACAGGAGCTCAGAGCTCACTTCCAGCGGAGGCCCTTCCGCCGGGCCCACCGGTTTTTGCCCTCCACACTTAGCATGCCGTTTAGATGACTTTGATTGTTTTTGCTGCTAACACATTCCTGCGGAGGGAGCTGGTCGGAACGTTGGGTTGCTCTGTCAATGGCCAGGGTCAACGGCGGCGTGGTGTATTCCGCAAATATGCCCGACTGTGAGGGCGGGCACAAGCCGGCGTGAGTAGGTTAAACGTTGAGTTTTATAAGGGCACCACGGGGTGACCAGCCCCCCCCCCACCCAGGCCCACCCGTCCCACCCCCCACCCAGCCCCACCCTCCCCACCCAGCCACCCACCCTCCCCACCCAGCCCCTCCCCACCCTCCCCTCCCCACCCAGCCCCACCCTCCCCACCCTCCCCTCCCCACTCAGCCCCTCCCTCCCCACCCAGCCCCTCCCTGCACGACGGACGGACGGACACAATAATCCCCTGTGGGCTGGTGGAACCAGTGGGTTCCTACCAGTATAAATGTCTGCAATGATGAGCCACTTTGTTGAGCTTATCGTTTGGTCGCTTCTGAAAAATAATCTAATAACTCAGTGGGCTTTACCTGATGAGATAACAATTGTTCAGTGTTATTTGTATATATTTTTAAGTGATTTGTTTACCTTTTTAATACTTTGCACTCCTATCGTGTTTTTGCACTGTTTGTTGTTGTAACGTTCTGACCTACCCCGACTGGACATCTGTGAAAAGAGCTTTATAGCTCATCAAATTCCTCCAGCATAAATATTCTGATGATTCTGATAAAAAAAAATTACAAAAAAACCCAACAGCAACCTGGCACTTGCACCCGCAGGCTACAGGCTACATGGGGCGCCTTTGTCTTTGTCTTCGCACACAGGACCTGGGCATGGAGTCCACCTCCCTGGACGACGTCCTCTACAAGTACGCCAGCTTCCGGAACATCGTCGACCCCATCACCCACGACCTCATCATCAGCCTCGCGCGCGACATCCAGTGCCCCAAAACGGTATGGAGAAGACGCGCGCGGAACGCGATCCGCGGCGAAGCGCAAAAGTGAAACGTTCGACAGGCGTGGCCCCGCAATTGCTTGCTCGCGCACCCCGCTGCCACGGAGCGCCCACTGCTCTCCCATTCACGAGCGAGAGCGCGAGAGAGCCCCTCCCTCCGGAGCAGGTTGTCGGCAAACCTGCGGGTCTGGAGCCGCGTGCGGGCCCTTTGAGGCCCGCTACGTAAGGGCCACCACTGTCTCGTATTCGCCACGTGCCCTGTGCGGCTCTTGAAAGAATGAATCACTTTGCTGACCGAATTTGAAAAAAAATGGCTCTTCTTGTTATTTTGGTTTGCCGGCCCCTGCTCGAGAGGCTATGCTTGGCCTTCTCTTCCACGCTGAGCAGACGTCTTGATAAGAGCTGCGAGAGGCCACACTTTACCTGCACCACACGCGATCTGTCGATCGACTTAACCCCAGGGTAGCCATCTATACTGCTGGGCGGATTCAAGAATCTCGTCCATTCTTTCAACTGTCACGACCGGGGGATCGAATCGACCTCCACAACATTTTGGCTTCTAAGCCCAAGCATGCTCACCATTGCAACAGTGACTTCACCCCAGGCCGATAGCGTCCGTTGAACGTTACAAAGTGCAATGCAGATGACGAACGCCGCAGTCAACATCCCTTCCAGATGGGAATCGAACCCATGGCCAAAAACTACGCCACGGCTCAGTTTATCACTCGACATTTTCCGCCACGCTGCTGGACTGGCATGGAGTCGGGCGGGGGATTGTCCGAGTTAAGGCACTGCCATTAACCCGAAGGACTATTCGCACACTTTTTTTGCCCATCGCCACCACCGCGAACACGGCCGCCTCGGCTTCACCACGAGGACAAACAAAAACGAGGTGGAGGTGGATGTGGCTGGGTGCCAAAATAATTCCGGGAACAGCGTTACCGGACCCCTCTGGCCAGAATTAAACACTGCCCCATAACCATTACAACCCAAGGCAGCTACCTCGCTAAATGCAAAACACGGCAACGGAAATGCGACACGCACCAACGGGCAGGTTCCCCCCAGCCACCACCATCACCACCACCACCGCCACCACGATCACCATCACCACCACCGCCCCCGCAAACAACATCATCACCACCACCGCTACCACTACCACCGCCACTTCGACCACCACAATCACCACCACCACCGCAACCAACATCATCACCACCACCACGACCACCGCCACCACCACCACGACCACCATCACCACCACCACCCCCGCAACCAACATCATCACCACCACCGCCACCATGATTACCACCACCACCACGACCACCACCACCGCCATCACCACCGCCACCGCAACCAACAGCATCACCACCACCGTCACCACGACCACCGCCACCACCACGACCACCATCACCATCACCACCGCCACCGCAACCGACATCATCACCGCGGCTCGCAGCCGATATTTACGGAGATGCCTGCGTTTTCGCTGGAGAGCATCGAGATGCAATTATTATGCCGGGTCGTGGGGGTCATGAGGTGACGATCTCTCTCTCGTCACATGGTGATTTGTCCCCGCTGGTGCGAGACGTTGGGGGGGGGGAGTTGTTCCTTCGTGTCCCCCAGGCAAGCGTGGCAGCAGCAAGCGATGATGGCTCTACTCTACTGATGTGTCTTAATGGGAATAAAACCAAGTCATGCAGTTGATTTGTTGTCCTGCACGACATGGGATGAGGCCGAGGGCTACGGTTTATGGCAATGATGATGATGATTCAGTTCTTTTAATCCTCTCCCAATTCCGAGACGACGGTCAGCGTTAATTTTTACTTGGAGATGCGTAGCGCCGTCGTTTTTCAAGACGTTGTACTCACCGCAGAGAACCGGAGCGACGCGACCGCACTCTACCATTGCTGGCACCAAACTGTGCCACGCGCCCTCCCGTGGGGCCTTTTACTTCCGATTCCGTTCAGAATGGATTCCTTCATCGGAACGGAATCGAAAGAAAAGCTAGCGATGGACACACAAGTCATCGGAACGGGAAAGGGTTAACCGCAAACGCACCGCCACGCACCACACTTATTCTATCCATATACTTATTTTACTCCGCGGCTGTACGAGAGCTCACTGCGGAGCACTTTTGTTAATGCGAGTTTTTATCTTCCCTGGCCGGAGCTAATTTTGTGGCTGTGTGCGACCCCGTGACCCGGGCAGCGCGAGCCCTGTGCTCCTGGGGTCACGAGGTCGCCGCTGTAAATGTCGAGCCCCCCCCCCCACCCCCCCATCGTCTCATCACCCTGTGTGGACCCCGCCCTGACCCCGCCCTGACCCGTGTCGTGCTCCCAGCAACAGCAGCAGCAGCAGTTGTTGTTGTTGTGAAGGTGAGTCATGAGTTGAACTTCTCCATCTACCTGCTTTAATTTCTCCTCCGATCAATCGAAAGTGCGCCACGGTGGCGGGATGTTAACTACCTCGCCTGGTATGCAGGAGGTTGTAGGTTTAATCGCGACCTTGACATCTGATGTATATCTTCTTGGTTCTTTCGGTAAAGTCACGTAGAAGGGAAGTAATAAAATAATAAAAATAAAACATAATAAAATAAAATAATTCTCACGACGTTTCGGCTACAACGCAAGCAGCCATCTTCAGGTGAAGAATGAGACAATGCCAAGCTAGGAGCTTATATATAAGCTGCGTTGGAGGTGGAAGAAGAGCTCCTTAACAAAAGAATGTGCATATGAAGAGGAATTTAGCATATTCATGGTAAATGCTAAATTCCTCTTCATATGCACATTCTTTTGTTAAGGCACTCTTCTTCCACCTCCAACGCAGCTTATATATAAGCTCCTAGCTTGGCATTGTCTCATTCTTCACCTGAAGACGGCTGCTTGCGTTGTAGCCGAAACGTCGTGAGAATTATTTTATTTTATTATGTTTTATTTTTATTATTTTATTACTTCCCTTCTACGTGACTTTACCGAAAGAACCAAGAAGATGAATCCCTGCAGTCACGAAAGCTTTAAATCGAAATCTGATGTGTATTTGTAGTTTGCGTGTTCTCTCGATAACCCCCCCCCCCCCCCACCCCGCTTCTTGTGGCCACGTGGATTTTTCTCCGGGTCCTCCGAGTTTTTCCCTCCACATTTACACATTCAGAATCAACATCGCGCGTTCAAGAGTATTTGGCTGCTGCTATGAATTTCCACGTGGTAAGCCACCTCGTTGGGCGATGGCGATGGCTTCACCAAACCCCCCGGCCGCCACCACCTGTCCAGCGGCGGTGGCACACTGTGGCAGGAGTGATGGCCGAACGACGAGACTCGTGATGGAATGACAGCCGGATGATAGAATCTGCCCAAGAGGACGACCGCGGCGGAGATGGAGCGATGGACGCGAGCAATGGGCTGGAAGGAAACGAGGTGGATCGTGGCGTCGCACGAACCCTGCCGGAATGGCGATAGGCTAATATAATAACAAGTTACATTTTTAAGGTGCATTTAATCCGAGGATGGAGATGCAGTCATCCGACAGTGAATCGATCTTGGCCGACGATGGCGATGATGATGGTGGGATTTAGCAGAAGCAAAGCTGTGGCAGGACGTGGTGCCGTTAACGACATTAGTCGTGATGACCCGTTGACCTTGACCTGGATGCAGGGATGGGTCACTGTGCGGTTGTCACGGCCCAATATGCCCACTGCCCCGTGTCGAATATTCCATCTCCAGGTGCCACGGTGAGGTGTGTGTTCAATGCCGCCAGCTGTCTTATCGCCTGACTCCCACAACCCCGGTCGTCTGTTACGCTTTTCGAGGCTCATCTGTTTGATGCAAGGTGATGGACACGCTGATTGGATGGTGATTAATATGTACACATACGCGTGCATTTGCATACTCGCGAGCCATGCTAATCAGCAGCTGATGAGCCGCCGCCGCTGCCTGCAGCTTTCATGTTTTGTCGGTGAAATGCGACGGATGTGACCCTTTGCCCTCCGTTTCATCTTTGGCGTTTAGAATCCACCTGCCTGCTTTTCGGCCCCTCAAACAAACACCTCTTGCCCGTTTCGGTGTCTCTCCATCCTTCTTGATTTCTGTCTGTCTGCTCATCCGTATATCTGTCTGCCTTGTCTGTCCGATTTATCCATCGAGCAGACTTTACCTATTTCCCTTGAAGTGTGTGCATCTGTGTCTGTACGTCAATCCATCCATCCTTCATCTATTTGCCCACCTGTCCATCGGTACCATCTGTTCGTCTGTCTGCCCGTCCAATCATCTGTAACTCCCTATCCATCTACACGGCCTGCTCTGCCCATGTGTACGTCTCTTTTATGTACGTCCTTCTCTCCCTCCACCCGCTTGTCCATCTGTCCATCTTTCCATTCGCGCATCTGCCCATCTCCTTGCCCATCCATCCACCTGTCTTTCCATCGATCCCCATCCATCTATCTGTTCTTCTGTTGCCCTCTGTGTTTTGCCCCCCCCCCCGCCTCTCTCTGCCTGCCCGCTAACCTGTCTGCCTTCCCCACGTGTCCCCCCTCCCCTCTCTCCCTCTCCGTACGGCGATGGCGGCGACTGCAGGAGGACGATGCGCTGCGCGCGTTCGAGAAGCTCTGCCGCCAACTCATCTACCACCTGAGCCCCCACTCCCAGCTGCGGCGGCAGAGCACCAGGCGCCGAAAGCCGCAAGCGAGGTGAGAGCGCGCGGCAGGCCGAGAATGCGCGTGCGTGGGTGCGTTCGCGCGCTGGTGTGCGCGCCGCGCTATGAAGCCTGGCCCACCCGGGTTCGATTCCCGCTCGCGGCCGATAACAACAGTGGCGAATATATCTCGGCTGGTCATGGGAACTCCGCTGGGTTCGAGTACCGTAACTGGTGTGGTGCGTCAAGGTCAGCAGCGGGGAGACAAAGGTGCGCCGGGTGTTGGTCTGGTCACCAACAGCACTTGCCCCAACAGCCACTTACAATGCTCTGGCGTTTATTGGTGAACGGCGATCGTGAGCACCCGAGTTGCGCAATTTCTGATTGTGCTGCGAGCAGCCGCCGGTCGTGCCACCTCATCTCATGGCTCGCTCGCTCGCAAGGACACCGTCAATACCCGTCCTGCCCGTTCGCTCGCTCACCGCTCGCCCTCCCTCCCTCCTGCTACCACCCGACTCCAACCCCACAGCCGGTTCCGCGTCTTCGTCACAACAGAGGCGCCTGACCTTGGAAATCTGGATTTCCAAGGCGACCCTGTGTTGTCCCTCGAGCTGTCACAATGCGCGGGAATTGCTGACGACGCACTCGTTAGTGATTCCGCCGGTAGAACTCCCTCCCCCCCCACCCCCCCCTACGGTGATCTCCACCCCCTACCCCGCACCGCCCCCCCTCCACCATCATCATCATCTCCGCTGGATTCAGTGGTTGTTTGCGGTCGGCTGTTTTCGGTTTTGAGAGACGGAAATTGCAGCTCTCATTGCGCGCACACACCCTCTCCTCCTCCTCCAGCCAGCCCCCTCTCTGTGGCCATACATTGTGCATCGTCACGGTATAAGTTGTAGAAGGAGTGGTGTATAACGTGGTTGGCGTGGGGCCTGGTGCAATGAATGAAATCCCCCCCCCCTCCCACACCTTCATAGCTCTTGCAGTTCCTCCAGCCCGTAGGTGGACCGCGGGTGCAGTTACACTGCCTGCATGTCGGATCGCTGCTGCGCTGCACGCGCGCGTGAACGTGCGTGTACGTGCGCGTGTACGTGCATGTACGTGCACGTGTACGTGCGTGTACGTGCGTGTACGTGCGCGTGTACGTGTGTGCACGTGTAAGTGCGCATGTACGTGCACGTGTACGTGCGTGTACGCGCGTGCGTGTCGGTAGATCGTTGGCGCAGTGGTGCGCACACTGCGCTGCGTACCCGGCGAACCCGAGTTCAATTTCCGCTCCCGGCCAACATCAATGACGATTATCTGAACCGGGTCTTGGGCCTCACCTAGGTCTACTCAGACTTAAATGAGTACCTGGTGCGGTGTGTAAATATCGAGACAGAGGCAGTTGGGCGTGCTGCTGGCCATCACCCCCCTCGTGTGCCACAGTGCCGGCCTTCATAGGTGCTCGCTCACAGCACTTGCCCCCAAAAGTCTGTGCTACAAAGAGGAATCTTTGCTTTTTTCGATTTAAAGCTTTCGTGACTGCAGCGATTCATCTTCTCGGTTCTTTCGGTAAAGTCATGTAAAAGGGAAGTAATAAAATAATGAAATAATAAAAATAAGAAACAATAAAATAATAAAAATAATAAAAATAAAACATAATAAAATAATTCTCACGACGTTTTGGCCACAACGCGAGGACGGCTGCTTGCGTTGTGGCCGAAACGTCGTGAGAATTATTTTATTATGTTTTATTTTATTATTTTATTACTTCCCTTCTACGTGACTTTACCGAAAGAACCAAGAAGAGGAATCTTTGCCTTTGTTACAAAGCCCTGGTGGAGTGGCGTGGGCGCTGTGCTCGCTATACCAATGACCCAGGTTCAATTCACGGTCTTCCATACGCGTCGCTTTGTAAACGCCTCTCTCTAAAGTTCACGCGCGTGCAATCACGTGGAGTTTGGGGTCAAAGCTGACCCTCGACGTCCGCTATATTGACTTGGCCCGAAACGAATTCCTTGCGCGAGTGAACGCAACGTCAGCTGCGGGAGAGACAGAGGTGGCTGTAACTGTTTTTCTAAATCGAAATCCATACTTTTGTTTGTGCGTGTGTGTGTGCGTGCGCGTGTGTGTGCATGCGCGCGCGTGTGTGCACTGCCAGACTTAATAGGCGCTTCGCTAACGACCGCTTTGTCACAGCGGTGTGTCACGTTATTATGGGGAGCCTTCGTCCCTGCACAATACGAGTAATCCGAGGTCGACTTTAGTGTTCGCACTCCGCGGGAGGCGAATTTCCTGGTCCGCCGATGTAAGGGTCGCCGCGGTGGTGAGATGTTAACTCTGTCGGCTGGTATGCAGGAGGCTGTGGGTTCGATCCCGACCCTGACGCCTGCCGTATATTTGGAGTTTGCGTGTCAGTCTCCCCGTGGTCATGTGGAATTTTCTCCAGGTCATCCATAGTTTCCCTCCACATTTAGAATCAACGTCACGTGTTTAGAGTATTTGGCTGCTATAAATGTCCACATGATAAGCCACTTAATTGGGGTATCATTTGTGGCCAGGCCGCTTCTGAAAAAGAGCGAAACAGGTCAGTGGGCCTCGCCTGGTAAAATAAAAATAGTTTAAAATAAAAAAATAGTTTTAAATAGTTAAGTGCTCCACATGAGAGTTATAGCGATGTAAACACTATCGGCTGAACACACCCTCTGCGCAAATCCTCTGCACCTTCATTTTCGAACAGCCTAAACGCTTCTAGTTACAATAAGCATATAATCAAATGAATATATTTGTGTCAAAAAATATTTATCTCGCTTTTTCTTGGTATCGCTTCTAGAACTCCCTGAGATTTTTACATCGGTCACTCACTCGCCAAGTCACGGCTGTCTCACACGCGTTGGATGCGCGTGGCATCGACTGACGGCGTCGTTTTTAGCGCACCCTGCCGTGTGAACTCGGCGACCTGAATTTGATTCCCAGCCCGCAGCGAACATCGGTGACGATTAACGCCAAAACCAGTCTCGGGCCAGCGCTCCGGCGGTGGCCAGCGTGGTGAAGTATGGTCAAGCAACCCCTCACGGACGGCACGGCATTAGGAGGCCTTTTGTTCGTCCGGTCGTGAATTGACAGAGCGCTGCAAATTATGTTTCTTAATGCATTTCAGGAAAAAGAATGGATGCATGCAGATTCAATTGATGAGTGATTACTGACTACAATTGATTCAGTTATTGGTTGAAGCCTACATCAATATCCTGTGCAATGTATGATTGGCGAGGAAAAGACCTCGCTGATTTTTTTGTTACAATTGAAATGACCCAATTCCAGTTCTTGGACTCTACACATCAAACGAGTCTTGTGACCCAGATATAATCTTTTTTGACGGTAATTGAAGGTAAAGGGGCAGCCATGCAAGTGCTTGCTTTCAAGCCACTGCTGGTGGAAGAGCCTCCACTTGAGAGCCCCTCCAGAGAGGATGTTTTGGTCTCGGCTCTTCCAAGCTCATCTGAACTAAATTTTTTTTTTGTATTTTACCAGGTAAGGCCTCACTGAAGCTGCCATACAGCTCTTTTTCAGAAGCGACCTGGTTGTCGTAAATGATAGATCAATGAAGTGGCTTATCATCACGTGGACATTTACAGCCAAATACTCTAAACGCGTGAATGTTGATTCTAAATGTGGAGGGAAAATCCGGAGGACCTGGAGAAAAATCCACGCGACCACGAGGGAGAGAGACATGCCAACTCCAAAGATACAGCAGGCGTCGGGGTCGGGATCGAACCCGTGACATCTCGGTTGCGAGATGTTCACTACCTCGCCTGGTGTACAGCCGAGGTAGTGTCTTGTCTGTAGTTTGAATTTCTTTCGCACTGAACGTAGCCAACCACGCTAATCGGAGATGTGTCTGTGTACGTCTTTTTGTGGCCTGCTGCACATGCCGTGGGAACCCATGACTGGTACGGCATGGGGAGGCATTAAATATAGCGGTGGACTGATAAAAGTTGTAGACGTAATTTATTTATATTTCCATACACACATACATATAAAAATATGGCCAGGTGGCTCAGCGAAAGAGTGAACGGTTCGCAATCGGAATGTTCAAATTCTGATTGGCGGTTAGCTCAACCAATCATCCCTCCGGCGTCACTAAAATAGATACTACTTCAGAATGAGATCAAAATCAGAATATTTATACTGGAGGAATCCGATGAGCTCTCAAGCTCTTTTTCACAGATGTCCAGTGGTTCTCCTACGGACAGACTAATCTCTCTTTGTAGAAATGAGGAATTCCCACCGTTGGCTCAGGGCTCTAAACAGGATGCACATTTGAGCATGAGATCACTTTGAACCATTTTATTCGTATTTGCTGCTTCACCGGCTTCACAAATGAGCACTCGGACCGCACTCGCACTTCGCGCAGGGCGCGTCCATTGGGGGAGGGGGGGGGGGGGTGCGGGGCCAGGAGCAAACCACACATTGTGTGGGCCTCCCTACGCCTTCAAACTAAACCGGAGGTGTCACATCTGATGGTGGCACCGGGTGGCGAGCGGTGGGCGGTTGCTCTTCACGCTGCGACGAGCCGTTAGCGCGGATCTCAACCGCCGGAGCGTTGACGAGAGGGCAGCGGAAACACCGACAGCAGCCGTCGTTCCGTGCCGCTCGAAAGCGTGCGAGCTTTTCCGGGCTCGCGTTGTTGTAACGAGATGGACGGACGGGCAGATGGGGAGAGACATGAGATCAGACGCGCGGGCGGGTGACGCGGAGGAAGTCTGACTCGCCCGCTCGATGTGCTCCAACGGGCGAGTGATTTTACGCTTTTTCTTTCTCTCTCTCTCTCTCTCTGTGTAGTTTAGCCTTTTTTACATTAAAAAAAACCCGGATTTAAACAGAACGCGTTCTCACGGCTCGGCGAAGATCTTCCCGCTCAATTAACAGACGACGTTATTATTTAAATACTTATTCATATCGTTATCGGCGCCCACACCTCCCCCCCCCACCACCTCCTTCTCCGCGTGTTATATATCAGAGTGGCTTATTGACAGTTGTGTACAGAACAATGGCCACGTGTGTGTTTTA